CCCTGGTTGCACTAGATTTACACCTTTATTCCTTAAATTATATCTAGATTCCCGATGTTTAATTCGCTTTATTCGCCTTGAGATCCTTATAAACTTTGTTGCAAATAAAAAGAAATGCTTTTTACTAAAGATCTTGTCTAGAAAGCCAAGTTTTCGTTAAAAAATCTGAGCGATTGACATGATGTCGCGCAATAACTCGTTCGCGTCTTAAGCTGTTATAGTCATTGGTAATGTTCACCAATGTTCACCAATGTTTAAGCTTCTGTTAGATGTTCACCAATGTTCACCAGTGTTTTTTTACTAAATATCGTTTACTTTTCTGTATGTTTAACTTCTAATAAGTTGTATTGGATTGACAACCAACTTGCCGACGTCTCTACTCGATTTTATACGTCGGGGAGTTGGCGTCGGCGAGTTGACTGTAATTCTTTTTCTTGTGTTTTGTTTGTTTGAGCAGTGTTTTGTAAACATTTAACCTCGTATGGAAAGTCTTTTATGATGCATTGCAGATAAAATTTTTCCCTTATCAATAGAAACCTTACAGAACAGACTTTCATAAACTAGCAGGAAGGCCTGGGCTCTTTCAAGAACCATTAACTCACCAGAAGAGGATTTTTCTATTTTGATCACTTTCCCTTGTCCGACGGAATATGAACGCCAGCATGAAATAGAGCCCACTGTGCTAAACTCAAAGTTGTTCAACTTGTTGATTCCTGTAATGGTTTGCGCATCGTCTGGCGTTTCTTTGATGGTATCCTGAGAAAAACCACTCATACACCTTCCAAACTGCCATGGGATAGCAGAGCTTCCTTCAGGTCGCTGGCAGTGCAGACATCATGGCCTTCATTAATAAAGGCCCTAATGTGGCTTATACAGCTCGCAGTTAGTCGATCTGCAACCCCTTTCCCGCCTTGAGGGTCGCCGAAATCAACGCAGACTATCTTCACTCAGGTGTTTGCTGAAATTTCTTGGCAATTCGTTAACGTGTGGGAGGAGTGGTAACAGCTGGCGTTATCATGCCTGAAGTAGGCCTTGTTGATTTTAGGATACTCTTGCTTCAATGTGGCTAGAACATGTTGCATAATCGCGGTAATGGCAGAACTTCCTTGGGTACAGGACTGAATCACATGGATAAAGGCTTGCCACTGT